CTCGGCAGTATAGTGAATGCCTTGGCAGCCTTAAGGACGCATCGATAGGTTTGAGGATGCATGCCATGCAACTATAGCATTCAATACACGTCACGCAACGATGTAGCGCCGGTATGCTTCAGCACACATAATACATACATAATTGCCGTCAGTGTGAACTTGCATATAGGGTTGCTGAAGGATCGACTGCCGTCCCATCCTGTGAGGGGAACGCAGACAGATTTAAATTCTTTCCCTGCATTTTCTATTATCTCTGCGAATTTTTAGCCTCTTACGCCATTCCTTTCTCTGTTTTCTTTCTGACATTTGATCAATAGACAATACTTATTATTTTCTCCTTTTCGCTTTCTGTAACGTACAGTCAAGAGCACGTCAAGCTTAGATAAGATAAGATAAGATAAGATAAATTTCTTTCAATATATGACTTAATCTAATACAATTATAATGAAAACAATGTAATTGAAGATAAAATATTAAAATAAACAGTAATAAACAAAAAAAAAATCTAAATTATATAGAATAATCATGGTAAAATTAAACATTTTAATCTTAGTGCCTAATAGTGCAATTGCGATGCCTAAACTAAGTACAAAGTATCAAAAACCAATAGAAGACTTGGCGGAGCTACGAGCAAGAATAGCAGAAGCAGGAGAATTCGTAAATAACGGAAGATTCGCCCGTCTGATAACCCGATCTTTTCTAAAAAGATGTCGGGCGTGTATTGCAGCTGAAGGAAGGCAGTTTGAACATTTGCTGTAATTTCAATAAAATCATAATTTTACTTAAATAGATTTTTTATTTAATGGATAGTTCCATTAAATAAAAGCTCAAAGCAAAAATTAATGATGCCATTAATTTAAATTAGTTGCGTAACGCTCTATCTCACTCACACTTCGTAGAATAGCTCTCTCCGTCTCTCTCATACTAGAATTATGTCATAGTTACCGTTCCGAGGGAAGGATTGGGTACACTAAATCATTTTAAATTAAGAAATAAAAAATAGTTGAAAACCGGTTTCGTTCACAAAAATAAAAATTTGACCATAATCTAAGAAATAACGTAGCAAGTGTCATACCATTTTGGAATCCTCTTAAAATGTGCCAACTTTTAAAGCTACTTGCCCAACCAGTGTAGTACATTTTTTTTTCGGTAGAGTCAGTTGAAATTGAACGAAAAATTCAATTTCTCTTTTGATATGGGAATAATGTGTCATTTTCTTTCAAAATTAGAGCAGTTGGGTCAAAATTTTAGACTACTAGCTATAGGAACATTACTCAGAGTTACAAAATAAAAAAAAATGAAAATAAAGTGGAAATTTGTAGAAACGGGAAGTGAAAATGCGTCACAGGGTGTATATTTTTCGATTTTTTTTCCAAATAGTCATAATTTTTAAAATACATGACATAGATTTTTTTTTGGATTTTTCTGATAACGGTTATGACCTGGCCTATCACCCCGCACCGGCTTGACGTCGCATTCCGGGACACCCTGTATAAATAAAAACCATATTAATATAAACTACCTCGATTAAATTTCAATAGGAATTGACTAAGTAATACAAGTAGGTATATCGTTTTATAATACATATGCACAAAAAAAAATTGCTGTAATGTCCATAAACGTACTGCTCGTTGGTAGGTTTTTTATTTCAGGTGCATTGGTCTTTCGTCTGTGCTATGACCATAAACTTCTTGCCAGTAAAACAAACATTATAATGAGTATCATAATATAATATATGAGTTGAGTTTTCATCTGAAGTGTAAATACAGTTTTAGAGACAACTCTAGCAACTTTTAAAACTTTCGTCAAGCGACAGGATTCGCAATGCGCCTTTTAGAGGGAAGAGTCGTTTTTATTTTGACTTTCAATTATTTTGTGAAATCTAGTTTAAAGTGGAATAGGATAGTGCTATTGTGCCTTAATCGAAGCTTAAAACGCGAAATTATACAAATCTCGAACTAAAATACCCGTATCGGCCCGTTCTAAGGAATCCCGAGTCAAACCAAACACGCCGCCTCAAATTGCCTATCCTCTTTGTGGCGGCAATATTTACAGAAACAAAATTAAACGAAGACATGGCTCAAAGGACTTGTATCCAAGCCAAAATTATTAATAAAAAAATCGTCTAGCGACATTTCCTTTATTCTAGTTGGCAACACTGTTTCGCTGCCGAAGTTGACCGATTGGACTAAGTGTAATCGCTATATCGGTATCATGCCGCGTTTACACTGGGTCGACACGTCGCCCGCAATTGCTAGCCGAAGGGTCAGTCTCCCAGTGTAAACAGTAAACACCAAGTTACCTGACGATAATGGATGTCGGCGACTGCGTCCCACCACGATGCTTGTGCTAGCCGACAGGGAATAGTGTCCGTCGGGATGGTTGGACCAAACGAGATATACAAATCAAACTGTGCTCATTTTTTACTACCTATTCTACTATTTTTAGAAGATACGTTTTGCAATGGCGTTTTATAGATATATTTTTTTAAATAACTTTATAGAATCTTTCTAAAATAGTGAAAAAAGTTTAAGTACTAAATAGTTATATAAAAAGTAAATTATATACTGCTAGAACCAAGAAAAACGTAAGGTGGTCCAGTCACCCTAACGTCAGAATGGCTGGCCACTTTATTTCCTTAATATTTCCGTTAGCGCAAAGGTAGAAAATATGTCAATAAAGGTACTAAATATTAGGGGTTAAAGTATGAAATTGCCGTTTTATTGCAATAGGTTC